ACCCAATTTAGTAATTTGACATCTACAGAAAATAAGAAGTTGGTTTTCAATCATGGGTCTTGTGATTATTATTTTTTTTATTTTTTATTTTTTTGTAGTACTGGGGACTGAACTCGGGATGTTGTGCTTACAAGGCAAGCACGGTGCCACTGAGCTAAATCCCCGGCCCATTGTGATTATTCTTTGGTGTTCAGCTGGGTCCTTGCCTGACTTATTCAGAGTAGGAGAGCTGCAGGTAGAGACTACTAGTTTGGTATTTTCTCCTCCTCTCAGAGAACAGTAGCAATGAAAACAGAAAATTGTAGTCTCCATCTTGGGCAAGACTAGTAGACACTTGAAATTTTAAGTCATAGAAGAGAGGGGAACTGGCAAAGGCAGTGATAACTAAAAAGGGCTGCAGGAGCCAATGGACAGAGGATTTCCACAGTTATTTCAGGTATAAACCTGAGCAAAGTATAATTCTCCAAAGTGAGAAGCATACTCTGACACAAGAAAGCAAGGTCTTTTGTTTATACCAGTGGGTACCATGCTGGCAGCACAGGACATACAGTTGAACCAGTAACTGCACAGATGCAGAGTGGGGAACACAGTGTGTGGTGAGAGAGGCTTTGCCACTGAGTGGTCTATCAGCTGGAGAGCAGTAGTGTCTGGGAAAACCCAAAACACAGAATATCCAATAATTCAACAAATGTCTCCTAATCCAGTACAGCTCGGGCTATAACAAGAAACAATTACAAATGCTTGATCCAGAATACACAATATCTGATCAAAGAAGAGAACTTACAAGGGAACCAACACAAGATCTATTTACAGACAGAAGAAAAAAGGTGGGAAGGAGCTCTCATTGGGCAGATGAATATTGTGCCATGAATTTTAAAACATAGTAAGCGAGTTCTATCCCTGGTACCAAAAAAAAAAAAAAAAAACTTAGTAATTGTTGCTATGAAATCAAAATACAAAGAAAAGGTACAGGAGCTCACTGGAAGTGACGCTCCAGTGAACAACCAATGAGATAAATGAGCAGGCAGAAGAAAAACAAAAGACAATTACTCATCGATTTCAGGAATGACGGCAATGTGAAGAGTAAAACATGAATGCTGACAACATGGAAAGGGAAGGAGAGAACCATAAGCAGAATCTAAAGAGAATAGAAAGGATTACATAAGGAAGTCATGTAAAAAGATTCAACATATCATAATTAGGTACCTCCTGATAACATGGGATAGAATGAATATATAAAATTAGAATTCAAGAAAATTTTTCATACACTTTTATGCTACATATCAAAAAGGTACACTATGTTTCTATGTCCTATGTAAGGATGAAGGAAGTGACTATAAAATATATCCTGGTAATGCTGCTAAATTTAAAGATGAAGGCTCTGGGGCAATCAAGAAAGATGAAGGTCTTTTTAGGGGTTAAAAAATAAACCAGGCTAGCCAGGCACAGTGACGCATGCCTGTAAACCCAGCACTCAGGAGACAGAGGCAGGAGGATTGTAGTGAGTTCAAGGCCAGCCTGAATTATATTGTGAGACTGTCTCAAACAAATAAATGAAATAAATAAACAAACAAACAAAAGCCAGCCGGGCTTCAGCATCATCCAGCTCCCATTATCCAGGGGAGAAACACCTATAAAGCACTCAAGGAAGGATCATAGAAACAAAAAAAAAAATTCTATCAGCCAATTGCTGGTTATGTGCAAAGACCTAAGTAAGTGATTTTGGGCATGTGAAAATTCAAAATATTGGTCCTTTAAAATAAGCCTTTTTGGGGGCTTGAGACATAGCCAAGGGAAGAGTATGTGCTTAGCATGCACAGGACCTCCATTCTATCCCCAGCACCAAAAATGAAAGGAAGGAAGGAAGGAAGGAAGGAAGGAAGGAAGGACAGACAGCCAGCCTGCCTTTTTTGAAGAAAGTAATAAAGAACAAATTACAGTCAACCAAATGACAAGTGGAAGGAAAAAAAAAATCAAATACTGGCAGGCAGGATTGAATGCATGTGATGAAAAAAGTAAAACCATTGAAATTTTTCTTGAATTTTACTTCTTTTTTGTATACCTTGTAGCAATTTACATAGGTTTTTTGGCCTTTGAGTCTGGTACAATTCTTTTCTTTTCCTTTTTTTTAGGAGACAAGGTCTCTATGTGGTCCAGGCTGGCCTTGACCTCATGGCAATTCTCCTGCCTCGGCCTCCTGAGTGCTTCCATTACATGTACGTGCCATGATACCCAGATCCAAATGTTTGACAGGTTCTATGAGCCCTCTGAGCCTGGTGGAAGACAGTGCTTTAAATTCTATCATCTACTTCTTTCATATAAATTGGCTTGTTTTAAACATGCTATCTACAGAATATAAAAAGACCTAGATATTAGGAATCTATCATAATTATAAAGATATAAATAGAAAAATCATCTCAACTGATGATCAGGTTTTTAAAAAAATTAGTACATTTTACAATACATGATTACATTTATCATGGGGAGTTTGGACATATATATAGCACATCTTAATTCTTATGTTTTGTCCCCTTCCCCTCCCACCCCTCCCTGCTCCCTCTAAATCTTCTTCCCCTTCCCATTTGCAAAAGCTCCATTTCCATTTTGGTCTTCAACTTTGTGCCTAGCACAGTGCCTGGCACAGAGGAGGCAAACACAATGCACTTCTGCTCTATGAGTGAATACTGAACAAGCACTCAGGAAATTCAACATCTATCTTTTACTGAAACACTTAATTTGTGCAGAAAAACACTTTCATAACTTGATTTAAAAAAGCCCAACCCCAGTTTTCATTGTACATGTATGTACACATTTTGAATTTCATCACACTGTTTGAATAATCAACTTTCTAAAGTTAAGATAAAATTAAAATGAAGAAGTGTTTTATGTTCAGCAGCTATATCTCTTTACACCTCAGGCAACCTATTTAATTACCACAAAGTAAAGTATCCCAAATTACTGGAGGGAACTAAGGATGAAAGGAGTTGATAAACCTGCTTAATGTCACACGTGGTGAAAATAAGTCCTAGGCATTATTCTCCATTTCAATGTTACTTTCTTCAGGGTTGGGTTCTAAAGCCTCTTTCTAGTCCATCCACTGACTGGACAGACTCAAGTTACCTCAAAACTTTAACTGTGCCCCACATGCTGATCACTTCTAAACTCTTACCTCTGCCACACATATCTCTTCAACAACTCGCTGACAACAGCCACTTGTTTTTCCACAGATAGGATCAGTATCACAGTGTCACTAACAAAAAGCCTGTGCCACTCTTTATTAACCAGACCTCATCCACACGTCACTCTGCATATCTTTCAATTGCACTACCTTCCCTTCTCAAACACGCAGCCTTTCCACTGTACCCTCTGGACTTACAATTCATCTATAGTGATGGTGAACCTTTGAGAGACAAGTTTTGGAACACAAAACCCACATACTTACCAAAAAGTGCCAACACTGCAAATAAACTTGAGTACTGAGGTTTTAGTTTAGAAAAAACAACTCATACATTAATATCTTCTGTCTTAAAAGAAAAACAAATATGTGTGCCATAGGTTTCACACCACTGCTCTACAGCAAGAGATATATCCTACACACTCAACTTCTTCTCTGAATGGGCCCTTCCCTTCCTGTCTTAATGAACCTCAGCCACTGAGAATATTCCTCCTCTCCAGAGGGTGCTCTATTCTCTCACATCACCCTCTTCCCCAGCTATATTGTGTACTTAAATTGTGTTCTCTGGCTCTTTGCCCTGGACTCTGGCCTTATCTATCAGCTTCTCCCAGCATCACAACCTTAAAACGCCACTTCTTCTCCACTGTTCTCCATCTTGAGTTAACACAACTCCACCCTGTGAGGTGCACAGGCCAACTAGTACCACTATAACCCCGACTCCTTCTCTTTTCTCAAACCACCATGCAATTCTTCAGAAATTCTCAGCTGCATCTTCAGGATTTAGCTCAGTGATGCCATGCCTAACTTGGTCCTGAGTTAGATCCCTGGTACCAGAAACAAAACAAAACACAACCCTGCATCTTCAAATTAATACAGAATCTAACCATTTGTTCCACCTTTACCATCACGTCTAGATTCTGGCTAGATACTCTCCATATAGCTTCTCTGCAGCAACTCTGCCTCTCTACAGCCTGTAGGAACCAACTTATCCAACTACAACTTAAGATCATGGCTCTGTTCCATGTAAAAGTCCACTGAGACTTCCCATCACACCACAGCAAAGCCCAAACCCTTAGAGTGTTCCATAAGGCCCTTTGTGATCTGGTGCCCCTACTACCGCCTAAATGAATGTTACCAGTCTCTTACTTCCGGTCTCCTTGCTGCTTCTTGTACATGACAAACATACTCATATTCCTGTCTCAGGGCCTTCACACTAACTCTTCCTGCTGCCCAGAATACAATTCTCTCAGATAACCCTATAGCTCACTTTACTACATCATTCAATTATCTGTTGAAATGTATTCTTATCCCACAAAGCCTTCCCCGACCACCTTATATGAAACAGTAAGCTTTCTGGACCACCATTCTGACACTCCAAAGCACCCTCACTCTACTTCTCTTCAATGCTCATCATCTAAGAATTATTTTTTAGGGCTGGGGATGTAGCTCAGTGGAGCTGCACCTGCCTGGCAAGCACAAGGTCCTGAGTTCAATTCCTGGTACGGCAAAAAAACAAAACAAAAAACAAACAAAAAAACCTATTTTTAAAAAATTTTTTTTGGTACCAGGGATCAAACTTGGGTCCTTGAGCTTGCGCAGCAGGCAGCAAAACCACTGAGCTAAATCCCCAGCCCCAAAAAACCTATTTTTTATAACTATAGCTCCCAAAAACAGAATCTCTATGAGGGCAGAAATTTCTCTGCATGCTCACTGCTTTATTCTGAGTATGTAGAACATAAAAAAGTACTTAGTAATAATGAGTTAAATACAGGAATAAAGGAAGGCAAGGACCAATAAAGGGAGTAGGGAGGATGGCTCTGTATACCTCAATGCTGAATCAGTGGCATGTGCTGCTGTCGTAGTGATGACTGGAGACTGAGCTCTGGTGGCCGAGACAGTTGCTACCACAGCAGGGGACATGGTATTAGAGGTGGTCACAGGGGGACGAGACTACCAACAGGAGAGAAAATTCATTAAAACAAAAGGAAAACTAAAAGAGAATAAGCAAAACACTAAAAGTACAATTTGAAACTTGGACCTCCAAATGAGCATATTTGTCTCCTAATGTAAATAAATTCTCATCATTCTGACTAGAGTTCTTCAAACAGGGTGATTTTAAGACCAAGAGTTGGAATTATCGGGCCGGGGATTTAGCTCAGTGGTTCCAACGCTTGCCGCGCAAGCACAAGGACCCGAGTTCGATCCCCGGTACCAAAAACAAAACAAACAAACAAACAAAAAAAAGAGTTGGAATTATCAAAAATCCTAATTGGCTGGACCGTATTGGAGACCTTCTTTCCAAACATGACTGGGGCCAAAACAGTCCCCTATTCTTAATGCAAATTGGATAGCACTTTGGCTCTCAGGACAAGCTAGCATGCAAAAAAACAACAGTACTTTGTGCTGTCACGAGTCACAGTGCCCAATGGAAAAAAAGCTCAGATGCTTTCTCCATCTTTTCATATGGCTAGATAGCCCTAGTCCTTACCACTACATCTACGTGTAACATTATCTGACAAAGGAGCTCCACACAGGGCCTCCCTTGCTTGTCCACCATCATTCTGAAGACCTTGATTCAACCCTCTTTCTTGACCTTGGTATATACAAGGTCATGTACAAGCAAACTCCACCTATTCTTTACCCTTTCTTTTCACCTTGGCTCTCTTATCCGCTACTTCTGTGTATAGCTACTTGTCTCTCACTGGGGTCACTGCTACTTCTCCTCACTAGTGAATGCCATATCTTGATGCTCACCTTTTTTCAATTAATCATGTATTCTATATGTACTCCTAGGGGCCTAAGTGCCCTCCAACTACATTTTCTTGGCCAGCAAGGCCTTTTGTTTTATTCTGAAAGCCAATCAGGACTCTTCCTTATTATCTTAAACACAGCTGCTTCATGTTACATCTATGATTCCTAAAAGCATTTGGATTTTCATTTCCTTATGTAATTCAGCTACATTAATCTTTCAGATTTTTTAAAAATCATATATTAGTTAAAAAAATCTGCAGATGCTCACTACTATCAAATCAATTTATACTCCGCATTTTAGTGTCCCCAGTTAATAGATAATACTATCTCCTATATTATTACTTCAGTAGTACTGAGGCCATAGATTTCCTTGAAAAAATAATGGTGAGGGCTGGGGATTTAGCTCAGTGGTGCCGCCACCTGCCTCGCAAGCGCAAGGTCCCAAGTTCGATCCTCTGTACCAAAAAAACAAAAAATGGTGAAAGGCATAGACCATCCTCCTAGAAAAGCATATGCATGAGAATGTGTAAAAGAACTTTCAGGAGTTCACAGATCCCTATCCAAATTAAAAACCCTCTCAGGGCCAGGAATGTAGCTCAGTGCCACTGCGCCTACCTGGCAAGCACAAGGTCCTGAGTCCGATCCCTGGTACAGGGGAAAAAAAACCCAAAAATCAAAACAAAAAAACCCTCTCAATTTTTTATTTTTTGAGGCAGGGACTTGTATGTAGTTCAGACTGGGCTTGAACTCATGGCGATCCTCCTGCCTTATCCTCCCGAATTCTGGGATTACAAGCATGCACCACCATGCCTGGTTCCCTCTCAGTCCTAACCAAACTTCACTATACATTGTCTGTAACTATTATTCTCTTTCTTGCTGTGGTTTATTTCCCTCTTCACTTCCTCTCCACCTCTCTGAATCCTCATCACCACTCCTATCTCAACAAAAAGCCTTCCCTTACTCCCTTTCATCTCCATTCCTACACCCCAGGGCACACTGTGGTCTGCCTGGCAGAGTGAATGACCCCATCAGGCACAAAGCACTTGCTGGCTGAGCACCCGCACCCCAACATGCCTGGATTGGTTGGTGAATGATGTGCTGTACTGCTGGTTGTGCTGTGGCAGCATTTGGCAACTGTGAGGTCGGCCTCAGGACCGTGGTTACTTTAGAACTGGACATTACAGCAGCAGCAGCTGCACCTGAAAAAAGTTTTTTTTTGTTAGCATGGCTTATGAGTTCACACTTTAAATAGATTTCTAAAACTCAGTGTGTTGGCATTCAGCTGAAGTATGATATCTATACTCCCATTGCTTCACAAAGGAAAGTAAGAAAAAGCTGGGCATGGTGGCACATCCACTCAGGGGACCAACACAGTATAACCTTGCTTGGCTCCAGTAGTTCAGGAAAAGAAAAAAAAAAAAAATTAAGAAAATGTATACTCAAGAATTGAGATTTAATAAGATTAATAATTCATACTGTGTCTTCAAGGACATTCTTAAATGAAACTAGCTGTTGCTTTATTTTTAAATTTTTTACAATTTTATTGTGCAATTTAATTTTATTGTGCAAGTACCAAGCACAATAAACAGCAGTGTGGCGCTACTGCCTGGATTCTAAGGTTCCAGGGCTTTAACCACCAGGCAGGGACACTTCACCTTACCCAACACTGGCTTTGTTCCATTAATGCCGACGTCAACACTGTAAAAAAGGAAGTGTCTTAATGTCTTCACGAAAATGGGCTGACGTCACACACCCCCTCCAAAGGGCCTGTGAACCACATGTTGGGAAACCTGGAGTTATGCTATGACTGAACAAACCTGATTTTGTGTTTGCTAAACTGATCGTGCCAACAATCAATTGTTTTATACTCTCCAATAGAAAGTAATAATTTCTGGTCAAAACTAGTAATTTATTACAACTTATGAGAACTTAATTATAAATTACTGCTACATAAATAAATACGTATTGCTATGTGAACTTTAAAAAAATGAGTGATCATTATCAGTAAATTTCAAAAATATTCACAACTGGGCTCGGAGTATAAATCAGAGGTAGAGCACTGTCTACCACACACAGGGGCCTGGGTTCAATTCCTAGCATTGTAAAAAAAAAAGATATCCAACTATTAGTATTTCTGACTTTATTAAAAATAAAAGACCATGTTTAGATCATTATAGCCTTGAGGAGTTCCTCTGAAGAACAATTTTTTAAAATACACGAAAAATTTGCACTGCTTTAAGTTTCCACATAGACTTTTTTAATGCAATCTAAGAAACATATATTAGACTATGTTAAAAACATATACTACACTTAGTTCTACTGTTCTGCAACTTTAATAAGCTGACTTTGGATACATTCTATATGACCACATCTTCTACCAAGTGTGTATGTGCCATTGTACTTCGAGAGTTTGAATAAAACATGGAGTCTTTTTTTTGTTTTTTGACAGGGTTTCATTATGTAGTTCAGGGTGGCCTTGAACTCACTATGTAGTCAAGGTTGCCCCTGAATTCATGGTGATACTCCTGCCTCAGTCTCTTGAGTGCTGGGATTACACAGTGCGCCACCACACCTGGCAAAACATAAGAGTTTTTACCTCGAGGTAAATGAGAAGCTCCAATGTGAAGTGGGGGCCCAGGAGCATTGCTTCGGATAATGGACATCTGTACATTTGTGGTCATGATATGATGCAGGTTACTGGGATGTCCCTGGAAGAAACAGGATACAATCATCTTTCCGTTCATCATAGACATTACCTCCAGGAAGCCATTTGCCTCATACATGGGTCAGGTTGCTCCTCTTAGAACTTTCAAGAGAAACAGCTGAGGACACATAGCTTTAGCTGTTTCTCACACCATCCTCCGTAACGATCCATGGCATTAGATATGTCACAGGTGACTGTAAGGAGCCTTCAAACGCTTCAGGCCTATCTAGATGCTAGAACCCAGTAAGATGATATATTTGACTCTACTTTTAGAAACTCTCATCGCCAACTAGCCTTTCATGCTCTTCCCTAGCTGAAGGCTTAATTTTTCCTACTTCCTTTATGTCTCTGCATACATCATTCTTTATGCTGTTGATGATCTCTAAATGTCAGTGTTCAACAGGTACTCCCCTATGGGCTCTTCAGCTCACTCAAATATACTTGAATGAAGGGTATTGTAAAACTGAAAAAATAAAATAAAATAAACAGTCACAACTGGGTGTCTGAGGGACCATGCCAGTATCCTAAGAGGGACACATCTGCAGTCCTCCAAGAAAACCCAGAGAAACAATGCTCAATGCTAAGATGGTTCTCAATCCTTCAGAGCTATCTGTGTATAACCAAAGACAAACTGGACTCTGACTCCTCATGGACACGGCCTGACATAACTTGATTTGTAACCCACATGTAGGGTAATCCCCAGAACACAGCAGCAGACACTTGTAAAGACTAGCTTCTCTCTAGTCTCTTTCTCAAACCTACTATATTTCCCTTGCAGATATCAATTCCTGTTTAATTTTTTGTTTAGGATATTGGTCAATGTATTTATTCAATATATAACAATCAACATTTTGGCATCTTAGTTGAAAATCAGCAAATTAAGAGAAAAACACCTGTTGTCCACTGATGGTTGCCACGGGAATGGCTGAAGCTTGAGGGATGCTACTCTCCATGGTAACAGTAACCTGCCCTGGAACCTTGGGGGGAAGTGATAAGGTAGAAGGTGGAGCAGGAGCAATGGGACGGCTAGGCATGGTGGGCTTCGGGGGCGGCTGTGAACAGAAAACCACACAAAACATATCAACAGCTCGTTCTAATGATACATTTCACTCTAGAGTTTAAAAAGTACACTAATCATCTTGAAGAATTCTAGTAAAGATGCAATTAGTCCTATATGGTTTATCTGTCAGTAACACAGCTTTTGCACTGAAGCACTAGCATTTTCAATTAATAGAGGGAATGTACCAAGGCTAAGTGACTTCTCAGATCCACGGAGATGGTTAGTAGAACTGAGATTAAAGCCCAGATCTGTATGGCTCATAGCCCAAGCTCTTTCTTCTACACAATGCTTCCTCCCAAGTATGTGCAGAAGTAAACAAAACCCCAGTAACTAAAAAATAACCCAAGGTAATACACAGGCCATATGCTCAGATACTCCCAAATTTCAGCTACGAAAACAAGACAAGTGCTGCTCCAAGTTAGCATGCCCCTAAGCTGAATAACATCAACATCAATATGGCTACCAGAAAAGATCTCGTGATGGCCCCTGCCCATCGGCAAAAGTCTAAGCACTGCAGAACAGCAGAGCTCTAAGTTACAAGGAGCTGAACTGACAGGGCAAAAAGAAAATATGAAGTCTGAGCCAAGGACACAGCCTAAAATTTTTGTTAAAAGTTTTATCTTTTGCTATGGTTCAGTATAAAATCTTAGCCCTCTCCATTACCTTCATAAGTCCCTCCGAAAATGAGAGTGGCACTGCTGGCGTCAAGTGTGCTGGTGGGGCTGTCACCGCAACAGGTGTGGCCGATGCGACAGCATGGTGAGTAGACAACACCTGCACCTGTGGGTAGGGCCTTACCACAACGGGCTCTTGCTTCTCCTCCCGGGCCTGGAGGGAGCCGCTGGAACCCATGTGCTCCCTGGCACTGACCTCCGGATCTCGACCAGACTCATCATTGACTAGAAAAGATGTGAAGAGTGAGGAAACATATCAGTTTCCCAACTAAATTAATACAGCACACAGACAAGAGTGGCACTTACAGGATTCTGGATAGGGTAGCTTTCCCATCTTATGAACAAAGGGCCTGATGACCATTTAAAATAAGCTCAAATAGTTTAAAGTGCATTACAGGATAGGAGAAAATTTCATTAAAAAAAGTTTAAGTTACATAAACCTAATATTTAGTATAGCTCCTAACTCTAACAACATGTAATTTTTCAAGACTGAGGGACAGGAATGAGAGATATTTTTATGGGTTTTTTTTTTTTTGGTACCAGGGATCGAACTCGGGTCCTTGCGCTTGCGAGGCAGGCGGTGGAACCACTGAGCTACATCCCTGGCCCTGAGAGATATTTTTTACTGTATGCTTACTGTTTAAATGGTACTGGGGCTTGCATGTGGTAGCCAAGCACTCTACCACTGACACTGTTTTTTTTTTTTTTAATTTTGGACTACCAGAACACAGAACCTATTGAAAAATTATGAAAATCAAGGAACAAATACTAACGTACTAAAGAGTTTGTGGAAATATTAATACACACTTATTTATCCTTTTTCCAAAATAGCATTCTTATTTTTTCTGGGCATAAAAATATTTAGTTATGAAGAAAATTTAAATTATTTGTAACACTATGAAGAAAGTAAAGGTGTCCCAAGATCTATTTCATAAAGGCACCAACAGTTAATATTTCAATAAAATATGCAAAACTTCAGAGTTCTCACCTCTTTTGAATTTGGGGTGGGTTTTTATTTAACTATTTCTCACTGGAGTCTAACCTTCATAAAGCTAGATGCACAAGTGTTAACTGTGTAGTACAATGGACTTTCAGAACTGAGTCGCCAAGACCGCGCTCAAGAAACCAAGCAGCATGAGCCCCAGACATTGCCTGTGCCATTCCAGCCTAGTCACCGTGCCCTCCCCACCCAGATCCGCTGCCCTGACCTGTCACACAACATCAGTGTCTATTCAAACTTTAACTAACAAACAACTCACATACTCTGCTGTGTCGTGCTTTTTTTCTCTTACAGATATGACTGAGCCACATTACTGCAGAGAATTCTACATTCTCAACGCTATAAAATATGCCATTTTGTGAATAGACCACAAACCCACCCACTTTACCATTAATTTAGATATTTTCAGTTTTTTGTTATAATAAATAACAATATTGCCAGTGATACTCTTCTATTTATGTTTTTTGGTGAACATCCAGACCATTTCTAGTTGACATATACCTAGGAGTATAATTACAGAGTAATACAGAATACGTGTATACAGTATCATTTTTAAAATGCTATGTGGGATTGTACTACATATATGTACTATAGGTTTTTTTGCCACTATATCACTGATGGTTATCTTAAGTTATTTTCAAATTTTTGCTATTAACGCCTCTTCAGGTAAAAAATTTCTAAGAACAGAAATGCTGAATGAAAAGACTGATAAATATCTATTTTGTCACATACTGATTTTTCTCCCAGATCATTTGGAGTTTTAAAATTCTGATTTATAAAACCAACTGAATTTATATACAATAAAATGGCTACTCTATGAGTAGTAAATTCAATGATTTTTTTTAAAAGAAACTTCCTCAGCAACACCTATAAGCAGAATGATTTGATCAGATGTTAAGCACATTTAAAACTTTCTAAGAAACTGCTAAAGTGCATTCCACAGAAGCTGCACCATTTTATGTCCTCCAGCAAAGTATGGGAATTCTAGTCACTCCTCAACAATGTTTGATGTACTGCCATTCTAGTGAGAGTGCAGTGACAGCTCACCATGGCTTTATTATTTTCACAATGACTAGCAATGTTGAACATCTTTTTATGTGACCACATACATCTTATTTTGTGAAGAATAGCTTCATTTTAACCATTTTAATCAATCGGCTTTTACTGAGATATAATTTAATATAAAATTCTTATTCTCTATGAAATATTAGATAAAATTTCACAAAAGGATACAGTAGTATAACCACAATACAATGATACAGAACATTTCCCATTACTCCAACAAGTTTATTTTTTTGTCTGTTTTTTGGTACTGGGCATCACACTCAGGACCTTGAGCTTGCAAGGCAGGCACAGCGCCACTGATCTAAATCCCCAGCCTTCCAACAAGTTTATTCATGGCCCTGTGCTGTCAACTCTCTCCCTTCCACTGCTATTCCTAGACATCATCAATCTCCTTTCTGTCATTATACCTTTCACATAAACAGAATCACACAATCTGTGCTCCTGTACATTTGCCTTCCTTTAGTAGAATGTTTCCTACTACAACATGGGGGGGGTCCATCCATGCTATGACATATTTTGGTAGTCTGCCTGGTCTTTGTTATTGCTGAGTAGTATTCCATATTGTGGATACAGCACAATCTGCTTATCTAGCTCTGGGGTTTCCCATATTTGGCTGTTATAATAAAACATCTAAGAATATTTAAGTGCAAGACTTTGTATTGTTTTGTATCTCTTTGTGGTTTTTTTGGTACCAGGGATTGAACTCAGGACCTTCCACTTGTGAGGCAGGCGGCGGCACCACTGAGCTAAATCCCTGGCCAGACTTTATATAACCATACATTTTCTTTTATCTTCCATTTACCTAAGAAATGGGATTGCTCGTTGCATATATTAAGTGTATGCTTAATTTTATGAGACACTGTGCCAAGTTGTTTCCCAAAGTGATCAGACCTTTTTGCACTCCCACCTATAACAGTATATTGAGTCCTGTGTACTTCACAGACCAATGCTTGGTACTGTCAATATCTCTAACAGTCACTTTAGTGGATGTACCATCATTTCTCATTGTGGTTTTAATTTGCACTTCCCTGATGATGAATGTGAGTGATTTTCCATGTGCTTCTTTAGCATCTATATATTCTTTCTGATCTGTTCAAATACTTTGTTCAAATATTTTTACTACTGAGTTACGAATTCTTTATATATTCAAAATGTTTCCTTTAATAGATTAAACATTGAAAATGTCCTGTCTCTGAGGCACAGCATGACCTTTGATTTTCTTAAAAGTGTCTTCTGAGGAGCATTCATTTTTAATTTGCATCAACTACTTCTTCTACGATTAGTTTTTTGGTTACCCCAAGGTCCCAAATAGTTTCTTCTGGCTTTTTGTTTTTAAGATATTCTGAATTTTACATTTAGGTCTATGATACCTTTGAGTTAATTTGGAGATTGTAAGCATTGAGGTTCATTTTTCCCTATATGGGTAGCCTGGTGTTCCAATACTATTCTGTTATACAGTTATAATTTCCCTATTGAATTATGCACTTTTGTCAAAAGTCAACTGACCATACATGTGTCTGCATCCACCACTTTGTTCTACTGATATATATTTTTATCTTTATCCTAATACCACACCATCTTGATTAGTGGAGTTTTGTATCAAGTTTTGAAATAAGATAGTAGTGCTCTCCAATTTTCTTTGGCCAAAACTGCTTTAGCTATTTTAAGTTCTTTGGATTTCTAAATAAATTTTAGCATCAGACTGTCAAGTTGAAAAAAAAAAAAGCAGGGCTGGGGATTTAGCTCAGTGGCACTGTGCCTGCTTTGCAAGCACAAGGTCCTGAGTTCGATCCCTGGTACCACCAAAAAGAAAAAAAAAAGCAAAGCATGCTGGAATTTCAACTAGAATTTGACTGCACAGATCACATTGGGAAGAACTGATACACTAAAAATATTGAGTTTACAAATTCATGAACATGACAAACCTTTCCACTTACCTAGTTTTCTTAGCAATCATACAATCTTCTAACTCCATGCTCTACATATATTTTGTTGTATCACGAGATTTTTTTTGTTGGTTTGTTGTGTATTTTTGACACAGGGTCTCACTATATGATACAAGCTGGGCTCAAACTCACTATGTAGCCCAGGCTGGTCTTATACTCTCAATCCTCCTACTCCAGCCTGTCAAATGCTAGGATTACAGGCATGTACCACTATGCCCAGCTTCACTATTGTTTTGTATGCTGCTATAAATGACACTGTAAAAACTTCATTTTCCATTGCCAGTATTTAAACATACATAGTAATTGATATTGGTACACGGATCTTATATTCTACAACTTTACTAATTTTGTTATTGTTGTTTTTGGAGACAAGGTCTTGGTTATGTAGTGCAGGCTGGCCCTGAACTCACTCTGTACCCGAGGCTGGCTTGGAATTTGTGTCGATCCTCTTGTGTCGGCCTCCAGAGTGCTGAGATTACAGGCCACCACAACTGGCTCAACTTCACTAATTTTACTCATCAATTCTAATTGGTTTTTTTAGAAGATTTTTCCAGAGCTGGATGCAGTGGCACATGCCTGTAATGCCACAACTTTGGGAGGCTGAGGCAAGAGGACTACAAGTCTGAGTCACACCTGGGCAACTTAGTGAGACTCCTTCTCAAAATAAAGAGGGAGGGGACTGGGGATATAGCTCAGTGCAGAGATCCTGGGTTTAATTCCCAGCACTGGAAATAAATACAGAAATAAAAGATTTCTTAAAGCCTGGTATGGTGGTGATTGCCTGTATTCCCAGCACTCTAGGAGACTGGGTTAGGATGATTACAAGTTTAAGCTCTCAAGTTCAGTTCCAGCCTGGGAAACTTAGCATGCACACACACACACACACACACACACACACACCTGAAGATGTAGCTCATTGCAAAGGCCCTGGGTTTAATACCCAGTACCACGAAGTAAATAAGTGAAATAAAAAAATACAAGTAAGATTCTTTAGGATTTATGCATACATGATCGTTTTATTTATGAATAAAGACAGTTTTACTGTTTCTACACTTTGTACTGATTTTTAACTTTCCTTCTGGTCTAGATAATTTTTCTCTAATAAAATGTTTAAGGGAAATAGACAATTTCATGACATTTTCCTATCGGTACAGGAAGACTGATTTTTAAAAACTTCGTAATGATCCTTTCCTGTTAGGCTCTTTGGGGATTCATCATTTCCTTTCAGACATTTGGATTTAATTTAGTTCATTTCTACCAGAAAAGAAGCATGAAGTATTAGTTCTCTATGCTTAACTTTGAACTTGTGCTTGAAATCCCAACATGCTTAGGATCCTAAATCATCTCTTACGATACAAGCAACAGGAAACATAGAGAAATATTTAACTATTTAGGAAAAACTTCTATTGTATTTTCTTAAGGGCCTCTGAAAGAATAAACACACAGGTGCACTCTTCAGAAGTAAATTACAACATTTTTGGTCTAAGTCAATGATCTCTTTTTTCAACAAAATTTGAGGACAATTATTGCTAACACCTTTTTAAACAGAGAGTGCAATTCTCTGCAAAGAATAGATGTTTTAAAATGATCTCCTGAGCTACAGTCCTTTATATTATCTGTTGTGAGTTTATACCAAAGACAAAATACTGTCAAAAATATCTGTTAAGGAATAAAGAACTTCAGGTGGCTCTCCAAAAATATAAGAAGTTGCTGAGCACACTATGCCCCTCCTCAATAGCAAGCACAGCACATACAAAGGTGCATGAGAAAAACAGTCCTGGCTCTCATAACTTGAGTTGCTGTGGAAGATGGAGTCAGTAGACTCCCAGAGTAAACAACATCTAAGATGAAACCTCAAGGAAGAACAAGAATCAGTCAAGTAAATGGGGAAAGCAAGACAAAAGACTGTGACACAGGAAAAGAATGTATGAAGTTTCAACGTCATAAAAATTGGGACTTTACATTATTCATTCAGAAAATATGAGTAGATACAGCATCATAGGAGGCATAAAGAAGCTTAAAGGAACTTCAAATCTAAAGGGAATTAAAATAAACTTGTAACAACTAAGCTGGTGGGAAGGAAGCAAACCAGAAAGTGAAGTTAAAACAGAGAAGTGCTACCACCCACAGGTGAGAGACAAAGACCAATTAGTGGCTTCAGCTCTTGATTTGAGCTATGAGGAGACAGAGGCACTATATATCATATGGAACACAAGAACTGGGTGGTGAAAGCCAGGCATGATGATAGCACATGCCTGCCTTTCCAGCACTCTGGTGGCTGAGGCAGGAGGGCCACAAGTTTGAGCCCAACCCACACCATTCAGTGACTTAGCAAGACCCTGTGTAAAGGTTTTTTTTAAAAAAAAAAAAAAAAAAAAGGAAGGGGTTTAGGCTGTAGTTCAATGGAAGGACCTGGGTTCAATCCCCAATACCACCTAATCCCCATTCCCCACAAAACTTCATGGTAAAGAAAAAAAACATAAAAAATGTACTTCAATGCCATCTTTTTACTTAGTGCATACAAAAAAAGTATTTGAAGGAGCTCCTCAACTTCTCCACTGTTAACTAGATGTTTGAGGGGAGAGGGACAATATGGTACATTTTAGAATACACAGCATCCCTCACCTCCCCCTATCTGATGCCAGTAGCACTCCGGAGCTGTGATACCAAAAATATCTCCAGATACTGTCCCAACATTCTTCAGGAGGGAAAATCACCACCTACAGAGAATCACTATAGTGCTCACAAGGTTTACCATGACTAAACACCAAGCTGCATATGTGCATATGTAATTTTTTTCGGCTTTTTGGGACAGGGTCTCACTATTTGTTCAGACTGGCCTTGAACTCACTATGTAGCTCAGGCTGGCCTTGAACTCGTGGCAATCCTCTGGCCTCAGCCTCACATGAGCTGAGATGACAGGTGTGCACCACCGCGCCTAACTTTCATATGTACTTTTTAAAGACCTCTTTTCCTAGACAGTAAACTCCTAAGAGGCAAGACCTATAAGAGTTATGCACCACTGGGGTCCCTCATAGCACTATTACTATACCTGTGGGTGTTAATTAAATGAGCACATATTAGTGCATTTAAAAATCAGTTCTTACAAGCATGCTTTACTGTAAGTTCCATAAGTACTACACATAAAAGAAGCCATTAAAATAAGAGGAAAATATATTTAAATTAGTATAGTAATATAACCTTTCTTCAAATGCAATACACTAGTATTTACTAAAATCCTAGAAGGAATTTGTTAATTTTTAAGTTATAAAACTGGCAACACTCTTAAAACAAGAAACAATATAGAAGAATGGTACACATCTCACCTGTAGCAGCTGGGTTTATCAATCCTGCAGAACCACTGTTTGCAATCTGTGAAGGCGCCTGGCTCAGCCCAGTGGAAGGGGTTCCTAACCGAGGAAACTGTTGAGAGCTCATTTCCACCTGCAGTACACAGTCATACAGTTATTACTAGCTTGTAAATTTGGAACCAATATTGAGAAAGCAAGACACTTTTAGCATCTACGGTATCTTCCCATAAAATAGCAAATGCAGCATTGTTTACCTAAAACAGTAACTTGTGATCAATGTAAATGAAGACATTATCTAAATTATGAAGGCCGCGTGTTACCACAAGGCATATGCATCTTTTGTAAAGTTTTCTGGAAAACAGCATGTCTCTTTGAAAGACTCAAACCTCACACGAAGGTAAACAGAACCGTAATTAGTATGTCATAAGAAGATTCAGAGGAGAAACGCCAGCCCCAAGAAAGAATTAGAAATATTACATTAGGAAGTGAAGTGAAAGGCATTTTCACATGCTTTTCTGTAAAGGCCTCCATTTACGGATTTTTTCTTCTCTTTTACAGACTCGCCCTCACCTGGCCCCTAGCCAGAGAGACCCCAGACCTCTATTTTCTTTAAAAAACATCACCCACTTTGCTTTCAGGAGCCACACTCTACGGATCTCCTCTACTTGGCCCCGACCCCACCCCAAATCCCTGGAAAGATCGGAGGTCACGGGTTTCCAGACCCCTCGGGAGTCCGACTCCGAGTACCGGCAATGGGCAGGCGTCCTGCCGAGTCCCTCGACAGGATAAGCAGTGTGCCTCTTTACCGGTGGCCGCCGCCCGCCGCCCATACCTCCCGCTTCCAGGGCGCAGGGCCGAGGGTGCCGCGGAAGGCCCATCCCAGTGGCAACGCTGGGCTCCGGGGACAAGGACAGAGCTCAAGCCGGGGCGCCCCGGGCCCGCCGCTGTCCAGTCCCGTCGGCCCCACTCACCCTGCCGCCCGGCCGCAGATCGGTTCCCAGTCCTCTTCCCCCGAACCAGCCCCTTCCTCCCCCGCCCGCCCATTGGCCCCACGCCCGGAGCGTCACTGGAGGCCCGACACCAATCCACAACGGCCTGAGCGCTCTGGGCCCGCCCCACCCTCCCGCCGCCCGCCGGCCAATCAGGCGCGAGTGTTGCCGGGACAACCCAAACCCCTCGAGGCTGGGCCAATGGCAGAGGGAGAGAGGCACTCCGGGCCAGGAGGGCGGGGAGCAGGGAGGCCCCGCCTCTGTCGGGGTCTGAAAGCGGCGGGCGCAGGGCCCGGATGTGGAGAGTCACTTTAAACTGCTTCAGGAGCCAAACTCCCCGGGCCGCCCGCCCGCGCCCTCCGGGCCGCTCGGCTTCCCAGCCGAGGCCTACGCCGCCACGCCGCCACGCCCCCACGCCGCAGTCAGCCCACCCCTCCTGGTGCCTCTCCCTTCCCCGCCACAGGACACCCTGCCTCTGCCGCCGGCTCAGCCGTGGTGTCCAGCTTGCGAAAGAGCCGCGGCCCCAGATACTGGTACTGGAGTTGAGGCGCCGCTGCCTTTCCCCGGGGACGCGCAGCGGGACGGACACTGCAGTCGGGTTCGGCCGCCCCGCCCCCTCGTCGCCTCTGCCCTCCCAGGCGCCCGTCCCGCCATTACCTGGGTGCTTCGCCGAGTGGCCGCCACACCGCCTCGAGCTCGTTTCCGTGCGCTCCCCGCCTGTGAGGTCGACGTCCTCGGGCTCCGGACCCGCGTCGCCGGTCCGCCGGGGCACTAGCACTCTGCTCCCCGCCCCACTCTAGCGCCGCTGCTTCCGCCGCCGTAACGAGCCTCTTGCCGATTGGTGACGGATGGCCCCGCCCACCTTCCAGAAAGCCACTCAGCTCTTGGCCTGAGCGGGAGAGCTGACGGCTCTGCCCCTCGGCGCCTCGGAGGTCTCTGGGAAGTGTAGTTCCGGGCGCCAGGAGGGCGGGCCGCGAAGGAGGTGGTGAGCTCCAGGGCGGGGCCTCAAAAGACCTGGTTGGAGCAACACGTCCCTGTGCTGTGTGGAGTAGGTTCAGCTTTTTCTCTTCTCTGAGAGGGAAGATAGTGGATCCCACCCCTTCGCCGCAGTCTGACGGCGCTGGGTTTCATTCTTCCGAGGTGGGGCGGTGCGACGCGGGAAGGTTAGTGGAGGAGTGGAGGGGGGCGGGGGCGGCGGCAAGCTGGCCTGAGAGCTTCTCGAGTGTGCCCGCGTTCCCGTGCCGCGCGTGGGTCTGGATGTCACCGCCGGATACCGCGGCCGTCTGAGCCTCGGCGTGGCGGGAGTCCCGTGCCGCGTAGGGGCGTCCGCGTCGGGTCCGCGCCAGTTCCAGCAGGCCGGCGCTGTGAGGCTCCAGACGGCGCGGCACGCCTGCCGGCGTTCTCCAGTCACAGAGGAGCGCAGGCGGCGCGAGGTTTGGAATGGAGAGTTGATGCGCCTGTAGAAGTCTTAATCAAGGCTGCTGAGGCACACTTCCAGTCTGATAAAAGATTACGACTCCCTTTTCTAGGTGCTATTTTTGGCCCGTAATTAGTTTTTACAAAACGAGAGGCTGGAGATTTAGTTTAGTGGCACTACACCTGCCTTGCAAGCTCAAGGTCCTGAGTTCCATCTCCGCTTCCACAAAAAAAAAAAAAAAAAAGAACTGGGGATGTTGCTCAGTGGTAGAGGACCCCTGGGTTCAATTCCCAGTACCTTCTAAAAAAAATTAACGGGGTTCACATCCCTTTGTGTCATGTACAGTCGCGCAAGCCAATACCTCGGTGGAGTACTTGCCTAGCTTGCATGAGGTCCTGGGGTTCAATCTAGCACTATAAAAAACAAAACAAAAACAAATGTGTTGAGGGCTGGGTATTTAGCTCAGTGGCACCGATGACTGCCTCTCCAGCACAAGGTCCCGAGTTCGATCCCCAATACCAAAAACAAAACCCCAAAAAACCCCAAATGTGTTGATCACTGGAGCAAAATAAACAGTCTAGAAATATACCCCCCCACACACGCGTGGGGGATATAGCCATTTTTTTGGATAAATGTTGCTGAATACTCGCATGGAAAGAAAAACAAAAACCTTGACCCTTATCTCAAACTGTATGTAAAAATTAATTCATGCTGTGGGGCAGTGTGGATGTGGTGGTATTCCACACCCAGGAGGATGCAGTGTGCAGGTTCAGTGTTGCTTTGACAGCCAGTGAGGCTTCTCTGCAGTTTCACACTTAAACTTTGTGCTGAGCTAGTCCTTCTAGATGAAATGGTTCTGCAGTCCTTTGGAAAGTGGAAATAGTCTACAATTTCAGAAGTAGAGGGCCCAGAAGCTTTTAATCTCTCCAGAAAGCCATAAGGGGGACGTTCATGGGGAGCTTTATGGGAACATTACACAGTGTTTGTATATTTTGATATCATTAGAATCCAAACTTTGATAATTTCTGATTAATGCTCAAATATTTCTTTACTATTTTTTTTCCTCGTGCAGAAAGACTTCTGCCACTCTCTCAGCCCAGTGGTGTTGAGAGAGGTGGTGTTGATGACTACTGTATTATTGCATCTCTTAGAAAAGCCAAGGAGCAGTGCAGGCTGGTTCATCTTCCTCACGCTGGCTAACGTGCTCCTCAGACATCCAAGTTACAAGAGCAGCCCCATTCTCATGCAAAAGTACTTTTATACTGCTAGTATAATGTTGGTGGATTTAGTATGTTCTTCATAGAGATGGCTCAGCCAGTAACTTTTACATTGAAAACTCTGCCTATACTTCCTCTAGTGACAATAGAGAGCTGGACCAGGGCTTTGGAGACCTTCCTTAGCACAGTAGACATTAGGTTTCTGTGTAAGTGCTTTAGTTTTAGCAGTTGACGGGACCATATACAATCCTAATGTGAACAGGATAAGAGTAAGTGGAGGCTGGTACACAGTTAGAAAAATATGTTAGTTGATTACATCTGAAATGGATTATTTGTCTCATCAGCAAGTATTATTTGAATAAAATACAAGATGCTTAAGATAAATATTGCTCTATAATAGTTTGCTTTCAAAGATTGGAGTGTGAATCTCTTTTTCACCATTCCTTTAAGAGAAGAAAGTGTGGTAACTGATGATTTTTGAAAGAACATGTCTGACTGCATGTTCATTCAGAGCTCTTTTTTTGTATATGTGGACTGATGGTGTGGTTAGTAAAGTAGAAATTTGGCCTGACTCAAATTGTTTTATCTAACTGGACTTTTTATCTATCTGTGTCCTTGAAGCAGTTCTACCACTTGACCAAATTCTCAAGGGCCTTACCAGGCTCCTTGACAAGGATGAATTCTGTTTCTAGAACTTCCCTAGAATTCACTCATCATTGAGAAAAAGTTAATTTAAAGAAGCATTCTCTCCTGATCACAAACAAATCTGCAGAGTTATCTGTAGTTAGTGCTACAAGGTCCAGCCAGAAGAAGATTTGTAAATAGCATAAAGTAATGGGCTATGCTAAATAGCAGAGGTACAGGTTTTGAGGTTCTTGAAGTCTGGTTAGCTGGATCACAGGCTGGAGCTTTGAAGGTAGTTAGTCTCTCCTCAACGCTGTTCTGTCCAGACCTGTGGACTCAGGAACACCTTCACAGT